CCGCACCAAATGGTCACGTTTATTCCACAATCCCCGAATCGCAACAACCACAACAAACTCAAACAAGAACTTATTTCGTTTAAATCAAACACTTAATAAAAAAAAAGAGGAGGAAATCATCTTTGAATATGAACTGAAAAAAAATGTGAAGGCTGTTACTTAATTACTTAATTTTTTATACGACTTATATAAAGTACTTGTAAATACATTTTCCCAATGTCAATTCGTATAAAAATACGTAATTAATTTTAAGGAAATAAAATAAATTATGGTTTCGTTTGCTTGAAATGATAGTCATTAGATTTTAAGTAAAAAAATTGTACATAATCGACTCATTCCTAAACGCACTTAAAAAAAAAAAAAATAATTATCACTTATGTAAAAAAAAAATGTATTTATATTTATATAGATTTAAGCCGAAAATATTTAAGACTGTTGTTGATCAAAGTTGTAAATACGCAATTAAAAAACCTTTTTTTTTTGATGAAATTAAAAATTCTTACGACTTTTATTTCGATTTCCATGAAGACACTTTAATTGCCACCTAACCAAAAATATTTAACCCAAACCTAATAATACTCTCCCCTTTAAAAACAAACCTCCTCATGATGATGACTCTAAGATCTAAATATATCCGAGAACGAGAAGAGGGAGAAACAGACTCGTCTCCTATTATAACTTTAAAGTTTTGTGAAGTTCGTTATACCATGAACGTTTTGTTGGTTTGGACTTCCTTTTATTAGACACGGAACCGACAAATTCCTGGGGGTAGAACGAATTTAACCCCTATTGAGGGAGTTACGTTTGAGAAACCACCCTAAATGTTGGCGTCTCTTCGAAAATGTCGAAGAATGCGTCAGAAACTCCCAGGAAAAACGCAATTTGCTACCTGAGTTGGTTAGTTTTTAAGGTTTAGACCACCTTAAAAACTCAAACCCCAGGGGGTTTGTGGAAGGTTATTTTTTTTACTAAATTCAAGGATACTTGAAAATAATTTATAGCTTAAAGTTAAAAATTTTTTTATTTAATCATTTTTCCTTTTTTTTTCAATGAAATATTTAATACTATAACACTTAACAAATTTTTGTATTTTTCTTGATATTGACGCATCTAAAAGCAAAAGTGGACGAGAACGAAATTGTTAAGAATTAAATTTGTAATAATTGTTGTTAAAAAAGTTTTTTTTGTAATATACTCCGTTTCATTAAATTTTCATATTTGCGTATTTTTCTCGATATTGACGCATCTGAGAGCAAAAGTGAAAGAGAACAATATTATTCAGAATAAAATTATCTACATTTGCTTTAAAAGTTTTTTTTTAATATGCTCCGTTTCCGGGGTGTTAATTTGTTTTTCTTGGGTGTAAAATTTTTATATTTTCGTATTTTTCTCGAAATCTATGCGCCTGACAGTAAAAGTACAAAATAGCAATATTGTTAGGAATAAAATTTGTTACAACTTTTACTCTAAAAGCTTTTTTGTGATATGCTCTGAATCCCTGGTGTTACCATTAGCAGTTTATAAAACAACGAATATCATCAAATTTTCATATTTTCGTACTTTTCTTGATATTTATACGCCTGGGAGCAAAAGTGCAAGCGAGCAATATTGTTAAGAATAAAATTTGCTACAACTTTTACTCTATAAGCTTTCTTGTGATATGCTCTGAATCCCGGATGTTACCATTGACAATTTATAAAATAACGAAATTTATCAAATTTTCATATATTTGTACTTTTCTCGATATCTATGCATCTGATAGCAAAAATGCAAGAGAGCGATATTGTTAAGAATAAAATTTGCTACATCTTTTGTTGTAAAAGTTTAGTTGTAATATGCTTCGTTTCCCAAATGTTACCATTAACTGGTAAAATAAAGACATTCATCAAATTTTTATATGTTCGTATTTTGCTCGAAATATATGCATCTGATAGCAAAAGTGCAAGAGAGCAATATTGTTAAGAATGAAATTAGCTGCAACTTTTGTTGTAAAAGTTTATTTGTAATATGCTCCGTTTCCCAAGTGTTACCATTAACTGGTAAAATAAAGACATTCATCACATTTTTATATTTTCGTATTTTTCTCGATATCTATGCATCTGATAGCAAAAGTGCAAGAGAGCAATATTGTTAATAACGAAGTTTGCTACAACTTTTGTTGTAAAAGTTTATTTGTAATATGCTCCGCTCGCCAAGTGTTACCATTAACGGGTAAAATAAAGACGTTCATCAAATTTTTATATTTTCGTATTTTGCTCGAAATCTATGCATCTGATAGCAAAAGTGCAAGAGAGCAATATCGTTAAGAATGAAATTAGCTATAACTTTTGTTGTAAAAGTTTATTTCTAATATGCCCCGTTTCCCTATTTAACTGGTAAAATAAAGACATTCATCAAATTTTTATATTTTCGTATTTTTCTCGATATCTATGCATCTGATAGTAAAAGTGCAAGAGAGCAACATTGTTATGAATGAAATTAGCTCCAACTTTTGTTGTAAAAGTTTATTTGTAATATGCTCCGTTTTCCAAGTGTTACCATTAACTGGTAAAATAAAGACATTCATCAAATTTTTATATTTTCGAATTTTGCTCGATATCTATACATCTGATAACAAAAGTGCAAGAGAGCAATATTGTTAATAACGAAGTTTGCTACAACTTTTGTTGTAAAAGTTTATTTGTAATATGCTCCGTTTCCCAAGTGTTACCATTAACTGGTAAACTAAAGACATTCATCAAATTTTTATATTTTCGTATTTTTCTCAAAATCTATGCGCCTGACAGTAAAAGTGCAAAATAGCAATATTGTTAGGAATAAAATTTGTTACAACTTTTACTCTAAACGTTTTTTGTGATATGCACTAAATCTGGAATGTTACCATTAACAATTTATAAAACAACGAAATTCATCAAATTTTCATATTTTTGTTGTTTTCACGATATCTATGCATCTGATAGCAAATATGCAAAAGAGCAATATTATTAAGAATGAAATTAGTTGCAACTTTTGTTGTAAAAGTTTATTTGTAATATGCTCCGTTTCACAAGTGTTACCATTAACTGGTAAAATAAAGACATTCATCAAATTTTTATATTTTCGTATATTTCTCGAAATCTATGCGCGTGATAGTAAAAGTGCAAAAGAACAATATTGTTAGGAATAAAATTTGTTACAACTTTTACTCTAAACGTTTTTTTGTGATATGCACTGAATCCCGAGTGTTACCATTACCAATTTATAAAACAACGAAATTCATCAAATTTTCATATTTTTGTACTTTGCTCGATATCTATGCATCTGATAGCAAATATGCAAAAGAGCAATATTGTTACAAATAAAATTTGCTATAACTTTTGCTCTAAAACTTTTTTTGTGATATGCACTGAATCCCGAATGTTATCATTAAGAATTTATAAAACAACGAAATTCAACAAATTTTTATATTTTTGTACTTTTTTCGATATCTATGCATCTGATAGCAAAAATACAAGAGAGCAATATTGTTAGGAATAAAATTTGCTACAACTTTTGCTTTAATAGTTTTTTTGTGATATGCTCTGAATCCTGGGTGGTACCATTATCATTTTATAAAACAACGAAAATCATCAAATTTTCATATTTTGATACTTTTCTCGATATCTATGTATCTGATGGCAAAAGTGCAAGAGAGCAATATTGTTAAGAATGAAATTAGCTGCAACTTTTGTTATAAAAGTTTATTTGTAATATACTCCGTTTCCCAAGTGTTACCATTAACTGGTAAAATAAGGAATTCATCAAATTTTTATATTTTCGTATTTTTCTCGAAATCTATGCGCCTGACAGCAAATGTGCAAAAGAGCTATATTGTTAGGAATAAAATTGGTTACAACTTTTACTCTAAACGTTTTTTTATGATATGCACTGAATCCCGAGTGTTCCCATTAACAATTTATAAAGCAACGAAATTCATGAAATTTTCATATTTTTGTACTTTTCTCGATATCTGTGCACCTGGTAGTAAAAGTACAAGAGAGCAATATTGTTAGCAATAAGATTTGCTATAACTTTTACTCTAAAAGCTTTTTTGTGATATGCTTTGAATCCTGGGTGATACCATTAACAATTTATAAAACAACGAAAATCATCAAATTTTCATATTTTCGTACTTTTCTCGATATCTATGCATCTGATAGCAAAAGTGCAAGAGAGCAATATTGTTAAGAATGAAATTTGTTACAACTTATGTTGTAAAAGTGTATTTGTAATATGCTCCGTTTCCCAAGTGTTATCATTAACTGGTAAAATAAAGACATTTATCAAATTTTTATATTTTCGTACTTTTCTCGATATCTATGCATCTGATAGCAAAAGTGCAAGAGAAAAATATTGTTAAGGATAAAATTTGCTACAACTTTTGTTCTAAAAGTATTTTTGTAATATGCGTCGTTTCCTAAGTGTTACTATACCATTAACAACTAGTAAAATAGCGAATTCATCAAATTTTCAAATTGTAATTTTCTCGATAGCAATGCACCTGAGAGCAAAAGTGCCAAAGAGCAATATTATTAGGAATAAAATTTGCTACATATAACTTTTCCTCTAAAAGTTTTTTGTGATATGCTCTGGATCCCGGATGTTGCAATTAACAATTTATAAAACAACGAAATTTATTAAATTTTCATACTTTTCTCAATATCTATGTATTTGACAACAAAAGTGAAATAGAACAATATTATTAAGAATAAAATTTGCTACAACTTTTGTTATAAAAATTTTTTTGAAATATGCTCCATTTCTCCAGTATTAACAACTAGTAAAATAACGAAATTCATCAAATTTTCATATTTTCGTACTTTTCTCGATATCTATAACTTATTAGCTATTTTGTGAAGAGAACTTGGTGGGTATATAAGAATTAAGAAAGAAATGAATAAGTTGATAATTAAATATAACTTACCACAAATGTATTTTATCTTTTATTTCCTTTGTGATAAATAATGAAAAATAAAACTACGTTTTAGTAAAAAGAAAATTTTATTTTTAAATCACCGATAAGTAATCATCGAAAAAAGTCGAGCACGTATTTACAATAATTATATTCAACAACAGTCTTAAATATTTCCGCCTTATCACCTATTATAAATATAAACACAATTTACATATCATCATTTATTCATTAAGTGCGATTTCAATGAAGAAATAGGAATTTATTGATCGAATTATGTACATAGTTTCGTTTACTTAAAACCTAGTGACTATCATTTTTTCAAGCAAAATCGAATTTTTTATAAATTTTTTTGACACTCAATAAATTGAAAAAAATTTATTATAAAGTATTTTTTTTCTAAAGTTAATTACGTATTTGATACGAATTGACATTTTGAAAAATCATCACGCTTATTTACAAGATTCTTATCTATACAAGTGGTATAAAAAATTAAGTAACAGCCTTTTATTTCTTTTCAAAAAACATGACTTTTACACCTTTACATTCAGTCCAAATTGAGATTTTTTAAACAAAATAAGTTTTTGTTTTCGCTTGTGGTTGTTGTTGCGATTCCGGAATGGTCGAATAAACATGACCACTTGGTCTACCATCAATTGAAATGTAACCATGATTTAATTGAGAATTTCCCTCTGAACACCCGGAATGTTGCGAAGAACTCGTAGAAGATGCACCTTCATCTTCAGTACTCCTAGAGGATTCCCCCGAAACGTAAGTACTTTGAGTTGGGGTTGATGTTATTGTGGTGTATTTCCAATTTTCTGGTATTCCAGTGGGGGGCGAAGTGTATCGGGAGGTTATTTTATTTCTCAAATCGACGGTGTTCTTGATTAATCGATTATTCTTAACTAAATCGGGCATAAAATACCTCAATTTTTCCCAAAACCTTCTCTCACCCCATCTTGTAACCGAACAAGCTCTTAATAAAGCTCGTAATTCGGGATCCATGGGTTCTAATGGTTCACCATATAAAACACAAATTAATTTATATCGGAAACGAGTTGTTATCGCCGTTTGGAGGGCTGCACGAAATTCGGGTCTTTGCCATTCGTTGGATAATAAACTGGGTGAAACGACAAAGATGACTCTTTTTGATGCGTCAGAGGCTCCAACCATCGCATCGACAAGATAAGAAGCGCCTCCGACGAGATGAAGGTCGCGATAATGAAGGCAAAGTGTATAACCGTGAGCTTCTAAATCGGGACCTATGATTCTGTTAGCTAAATCTTCATCTTTGTAGCTGTAAACCATGTAGCAATCATAAAGGCGATCGTTTTCTTCAAAGTTTTCGATTTCCCCCGTAGATTTTTTGAAAATTCTTAAACCGTATTTTGTATGAATCCAAAGTTTGAAATCTTGGCGGAAAGCGAAAATAATCGAAAAAATTAAAAATAAAATTATTAAAGTAACCAAACTCGCCGCTAATAAAGGAATGTAATTTCCCCCCAATAAGATGTTGTTGGTTAAAATTTTCTTTTGCATTACAGTCGCCACGGCGTTAATTTCATTATCACATTTGCGCAAAATTTCGGCGACGGTTTCTTTTCGATTTTGACAAAGTAATTTATCGGGATTCGTTTCGATGTTTTCTTTTAACCACGATTCTAATTTGAGTAAATTCTCGCATTCGCAACTCCATTTATTTCCATCTAAAGTAATTTTGGGTTGTGTTTCGGTTTCTTTTAATTTATCGAAGGGGTTGTTGAAGTTAACGATTTCGTTATCGTCGAGTTTTAAAACCCCCAATTCTTTCATTGCGTTAAAAGTTTGATTTCCAACGAAAGAAATTTTGTTATGATCTAAATATAATTCGTTTAATTTTTGTAATTGGTCGAATTCGAAACCTCTCAATTCTTCTAAATGGTTGTTCTCCATGTGGAGGATTTTTAACGATTTAACTCCGTTGAAGGTTCGGTTGTGGATGTTTAAGATGTTGCTGTTGTTTAAGAATAAAACTTCTAATTTTTTCTTTCCGATGAAGACGTGGCTCCCTAATTCTCCTAAATCGTTTCCGTCGAGGTAAATTTCTGTGGCGTCCATTGGGATTTTTTCGGGGACGTTTCTGTACCCGGCGTTGCTGCAATCAACCACGTTTGAGGACCAAGTTAAATCGTGGAAGCACGTGCAATTATTGGGGCAAGTCATTTCGCAATCGCAAGCGTCGAAATCGCAACAATGACACAAAGCGAAACAATGCGTTTTGTATTCGCACAAAAATTGGGAAGGTTTTAAATCTAAAAGTTTTTGGGGAGGCGATCCCCTGCTATGAACTAAATCACAATTAACAGAGTCTAAATCTAAAATTTGGGGGTATTGCCTTAAATTACTGCTTAAATGATTGATCCTCAACAACCACTCCATGTTACAATCGCAATAAAACGGGTTATTTCCTAAATAAAATTGGGGCAAATCATCATTTTCATTAAAACCCCCCAAATTTAACGAGGAAATATCCAAGTTTTTGATTTCATTATAACTTAAAACAACTTTTTTTAGATTTTGTTTATTCAAAAACGAATTAGGTTCAATCGATTTAATTCTGTTATTATTCAAAAAGAACTCTTCGATTTTCGCAGGAACCGAGTGCTGATTAATTTCACTTAAATAATTAAAACTAACATCGAAAAACTTAATATTACTCGAATTAACCACATCGAATCGATCGTTAAGTTCGGTTATTTGATTATTTCTTAAATCCAAACCTTGCAAATTCAACGGAAGATGACCGAAATCGAAAATGTTCAAGTTATTAGCCGAAACGTTTAACCAAATTAAACTTTCCAAGTTTGTAAAAACACCACTAATATCCGTGAGTTGATTATTGTCCAATAAAATAGCTTTTAACCCCGAATTACTCGAAAACGCACTTTGTTCAACATGTTTAATTCTGTTCGACGCCAAATTTAAAACTTTTAGCGATGGCAAAGTTGAAAAAGCATCCCTCGAGATGTTCGAAATGTGGTTATCGACCAATCTTAATCCGTAAACTTGATCTAAACCTTCAAACGATGAGTTGTTTACACTTCTTATCAAGTTTTTCCCCAAATCCAATGACTTCAAGTACCGTAACTTTTTAATCCCATCCGGAACCGAATCGAGTTGATTTCCGTTTAATCCCAAATCTTGAAGATTCGTTATATTCTCGAAACTTTGATCATCAATGATTTTTATATAATTAAAATCTAATATTAATTGATTCAAAGCGTACATCCCATTTAAATGGAACGCTTCAATCGTTTGGAGTCGATTATGCGACAAAATCAAAGCGTGCAAATTACTTAATTGCCCAAAAGCTCCTTCAACGATAGTTTCGATTTGATTTCGTTCCAAATTTAAAATTTGGAGACTAAATAAATCTCTAAAAACGTTTCCATCGATTTTATTTAAACTATTATAGCCAAGATTTAACTCAACTAACCTAACTAATCCTTTAAAAGCGTCTCGGTTAATCCATTTACTCGACAACTCATTATGACTCAAATCGACAACTTGCAGTTGATCCAAACCTTCCAAAATCCCCGGCGCCAACACACTCAACGAATTATTTTGGAGATAAAGATGATTCAAACTTCGCGAGGAATGAAAAAGCTCCGGAGGTAACGCAACAATTGAATTACTCGACATATTAAGCGTTTGCAAATTTCTCAAATTTGAGAAAGCTCTATCTCCAATTGATGAAATCGCGTTATCTTGCAAACTCAAAGTTCTCAAAGATTTCAAATTCGTAAATGAATTATCCGGGATCGAAATAATGTCGTTATCAGATAAATCCAAAATATCCAAGCTATTTCCGCAACTCCTCGAATGCGTCATCTCATTGATTTCATTAAACCCCAAGGAAATGATATCCTGAAGTTTATTTTTAGTTAAATTTAAACGTTCGAGACTATATAACGGACAAAATAAATGTTGAGGAGTCGTCCAAATATTATTATCCCCCAAATCCAAGCTCCTCAATTGACTCATTCCCAAAAAACTTTCTCTGTGAAGTTCCAAAGTCATCACGGACCAATCGGAGTTGTGCGATCTCAAAGACAAACTTCGCAAATGATGCATCGACGATAAAATAGCCGGGGGGACGTTTCGGATTTTGCAATATTCAATTCGCAATTCTTTCAGGCGTTTCAAATGACTCAAAAACGGCTTTTCACGTTTCGATTCTAAAGTACTCTCAAAAAATAATACGTCACTGCACTCCAATTTTAAATTTTCAACGAGATCCGTTTGAAACGGACTCATATCGTTCATTAATGAATCCACGCCGCTTATAGTTCTTATTTGACACGTCAAAACCGGCTCTTCTAATGAGTCGTCTTCGAAAATCTTCATCATTTCCCATTCACAACCTTTCGGGACGTAATCATTATGAGAAATAATCACTCGGCCACTCACAATTACGATTAGTAAATTAATTAAAAATAATAACCGGATCATTTTTTTCGAAGTTTATTTTTGGTGTTATAAAATTAATACCAACATCGCGTTTAACGTCGGGCACGAGATCGAGTTCTGCGGAGCTTTTAAGAATAAGAACCGAAACTCGCTAACGTTCGAGCGCAACTGAATCGTCTGAATCGCGGTAAGCTGTTGCTCTTCAGCTGTTTTTCGATGTTGGTGGGGGTGAAAGCACCGCCTACTTGAATTCCCCTACTTTGTGTTATTATCAGCCAAATTCCTACTGAAACGAAAATGATTTGTTTGATGTAGTTAAATAAAATATGCTTTTTTGAGATTGAGTTTTTTATTGGAAATAATGATCCATAATCAGTTCCAGGTTAGCTAGCATTAAGGCAACTAAAAATATGCTCCAAAAATAATAGTTAAAAAATGTTCTATAAAAATAAAAATATGCTGTTTAAGTATGAAAATATGCTATATAAAAAATTGGAATTAAATATTAAAATATGGACTATTCCTATACACGAAATATTTATTAGTTCGACTTATAAAAACTAAAAGAATTAGAAAATATCCAAGAAAACATAAAAGACAAATAGAAAGATATAGAAAATAAAATAGCAACAAATTTAGCTTAAATGACAAACACTTAAATTATCAAAAAGGAAACTTCGTTCCACTTCCACTGAAATTATAGGTGTAAATTTCAATGCTAGTGCTTCACTGAGGTTATTTCTGTAGATCATTTACTCAAACATGTCGAAATTTCTTTCAAAATAGAATAACCATAGCCATTTTTTTCGTTACTGTTTATGCCATTAATTAAGTCACTACTTCAACCTGTGTAGAAAGCAAAAACCTTGCTGTTTCTAATGTTTTTATTGATGTGCTAAGGAAGCCATAATTTGATGCAGTGGAAATCAAGTCTGATTTTATTGTATTGTCATTTAGTAGGTCCTTTGAAATGTTGATTAAAGTGAGTAGTTACCGATTATGGGGGAAGAGCAAGACAAGGCGCTATTTCGTTAAAAATTGCTACTCTTGACGGCGCGTTTAAAATAGTATAGTAAAAAACAAGTTTAGTAAGACACGTTTGAAGTACACGAATTCAAATTGGAAACGTATTTTTTATGCTATTTTTTGTAATTTTCGTTTTTATCCTTTTTTTTTTGTCAAAAATAAAATAAATTTTGACAATGTAGAGAAATAGGTATGTTGCAGTTGATAACACCGTAACACTTGAAAATAGAAATTTGAATTGACAATTAAAAACTGTCAAAACACAAAATGTATTCACCTGACAAAAATGTTTCATGTACCCCTCCCAAAATAAGAGAAATTGCTCAGAGATCAATGTCCTTATCATTGTGGACCTTGTATTCGATGCTAAGAACGTGTTTAAACATCCATAGACAAATATTGTCACATTACAACTAGAAAAATTAATGACCCAATGTCACCAACTTGAACTGGTTCCATAAAAGTTACTAAAATCTCATTACAGCATCGGATGCTGTAAGGAGTCTCATTACAGCACCCGTTTGAGTACTGTTATAGCTTTCATTACCGTCGCGAATTACAAAAATACTTTTTTGTACTCATAGCATCTTGATACCTAATTCCCGCACAGAGAGGACGTGCGGGAAACGCGTTTTCCCGCACAAATGCTTTTTTGTTACCGCAACTAACAGGAATATTTAATGACCAAATGTGCATGTTTATAAGAAAAGGTTAATACGAACGTTTTATACATTCGTGTGCACACCGTTTTAAAATATTTAAAAAAATCTATAAAAATCAATTTGCAATCAATAAAATCAATATTGACGTTTTGAATTTCGGTTGATTTTTTCCTGTCAAAAACCCCACATGCAACTCATATCGTCACACAGGGACTTTTTATTCGTTACAAAAAATATTGTACAATACTCATGCGGAAAGGATTTTTCCAGCATTCGCACGCAAATACAGAACTCACTCCCTTCGGTCGTTCGTTCTGCAAACTAGCGTGCTCATGTGAAAAGCGAGCCTTTCCGCATTTGTATCGTAAATAACTATTACAGTACTCACACGGGTGCTGTAATGAGACTCCTTACAGCATCCTATGCTGTAATGAGATTTTAGTAACATTTTATGGAACCAGTTCATGTTGGTGACATTGGGTCATTAATTTTTCTATAGTCTCTTTTTAAACTAGGAGGAGCATTTTAAATTTCTCACCAGATTGACCTTGCACGTGATTGGTTGAATACGAGGAAGGTTTATACACAGGCAATTTTTATTTCTTGTTGATAATGATTTTAAATTTGGAGGTTAGGCTATTGATCATTCGAATGACATTAAACAAATAATAATAATTGTTAGTTTAAATTTACCGCTAAAAATATCTAGTGATATTTTCTAGTGTAAATCTGACTTTCGGATTCACTCCTAAACAGACTATAGTTGTTAATGTGACAATTTTTGTCTATGGATGTTTAAACACGTTCTTAGCATCTAATACAAGGTCCACAATGATGAGGACAATTTTTCTTATTTTGAGAGGTGTACATGAAAGATTTTTTCAGGTGAATACAATTTCCAACAATTTCTAATTGTCAATTCAAACTTCTATTTTCAAGTGTTACGGTGTTACCAACTGCTACATACCTTTTTCCCTACATTGCCAAATTTATTTTATTTTTGTTAAAAAAAGGATAAAAACGCAAATTACAAACAATAGCATAAAAAACTCGTTTCTCAACTTGAATTCGTGCATTTCAAGCGTGTCTTACGAAACTTGTTTTTTAATATACTATTTTCACATTGGTCGACGCATAGAAAATATAATATAATATATTTATTATAGAAGGTCATCACGTCGGTATAAACTGCCTCCTCCTCAAAAGCGCCACCTAGTGAAATGGACTAAAACAAGTGACACAAACCCCGCGATATTCGAATTAGAATTTATTTTGCTTTCAATTTTAACGTAATTATTTCAATCGCCACTTCACAATAAGTGAGTTATTTAAATACGTAATAATATGTATTTAAATAACTCACTTATTGTGACGAGGAGATTGGTTTCAAAACAGGAATTAACGAAAATAAAAGACATTAACTTAGAATTTTCTTGTTTTATTTGCTATTTTTATGGCATTTTCAAATATAATACCGTCTGATGAACGAGAATCTTTCTTAGCAAGTACTTTGTTTACACATTTACAAAAGTGGTAAATTAATAATTTAATAAATATATTTAAAATATAGTAAATTATTTTTTCGCGATGATCACACAGAAAAGAAAATGTAACATTATCTAAAATACTTTTAATAATAAATTTTGAAATATTAGTACTACTGACGAAATGATTATGCAGTATATTTAATGCAATTTCATAGCATTTTATTAAAGTTGATAAAAATGATTTTTTGCGAAATATCAGTTTGTTTGCTTTATAATTTTTTTGTGGATTGTTTAATATGTAGTTTACAGAACTGACACTTAAATTAAGCTGTGGCTTTTTTGGCAACATAGCCAGCCACATATCCAAATATAGATATATCCATTCCTCGTTGAATTTTGTCTATACTGATGGTATTTTGAAGTAAATTTAGTGACTCAAATGGCTGATTAATATCTTCATTTTTCGTAAACAACGTTTTTAAAGTTAATAAATTTACATCGCTACCTGCTTCACAATTCCCTCTCAAGGAATGATTATTTACTACCTTGCGCACTAATAATGATCTAAATGATTCGCTAAATTGTCTAGCGTTTGGATTAATATTTCGACCTCGGTGCTGGCAAATATGCCCAAAAAAAATTTCGAGTGCATCCTGGTTGAATCGCCGTGCCAAGAAAAATTGGAGTCCTGATTTACGAAGTGATGTGGACAATTTATCTAATAAAATTTTTTAATGTAAAAATTAAATTTTTTAGTGTGGGTGGAATTACTTTTACAGAATTTTTGTCCACAAAATACATGTTTTCCAGTGAACTTATAGATTTTCTCCAAAATTCCTCATGTCCAGTTTTTGCTGATACTGCCGCTTTCAATGGCTTGCCTTCCTTATTAAAAGTATTTGATCCATTTAAATAATCAAATTATCAAAAAATTTTTGATATTGGCCGTTTCTTCAACACTCTTCTCCACCACTCTTCGCCCATCCAAACTCATTTCACCTGGGAATTTAACGTAATTAATTAAATAACTATATTTCTTTGATTACCTAATACTTACTATTACGTGCCATTATCGCAATTGTGGCTACCATTGTATGGCTTAGAACTTGTGTGCAACATGAAATTTTCATTTTTTTCAGCTTACCTGGCAAAACATGTTGGTCTGTAACTTTTTTCAATGCCCGCAGATGGCCACTGGCAGCATCAATTTTATATGCAGATATAATATGCGCCTACTGGGCGGTATATTTTATCGGATTTTCCTCCCACATCAAGTTTTTGTTTAGGAAATTGTTTCTTATCCCTTTAATAATAACGTCTCCATCTATGTTTATTACTTTTTCTGCATTCTTTCCAATTAAATGGTTAACAGCTGCCTGGTTATTGCTGCCCTGATCACTTGCGTAATCAAATTCGCTATTTTAATACTTTCTGCAGGTCCACCAGGCAATATGTATACCACGGGTTGTATCCATTTTCTTGCAACTCCTTGTCAATCATGTCTCTGTTGAAAGTCTCACCCAAAATCTTAATAGAATCATCGAAAAGCCTTGCAATAATGCTATGATTCACTTTATCGTGCACGAAACAAAAATTGTTGTTTAGTGATCAACTCATCAAGATCCAAAATTTCAATAATAACATTTGCCACATATCTTCCTGTTGCATCTATTGTTTCGTCGATTGAAATCCATAAAAAGCAACCGTTGATGCATTTCTGTATGTGGTCTATGGTATTTTTGTAAAGTTCCTTAACATATTTTGTACGAAGGGTATTTTCTGATGGTACTTTATACTCTGTGTATGATTCTAGGAACGATATCAATTTTTTGTTGCGCGATTTATACAGAGGTATATCAGCGGAAATTAATGCGCTACATCTTCTACAAATTGAACATCTTTGCAAGTACCTATTGGGATAAGTTTCCTAACATAGACGACATTACTACTACTACAGTTTCAAATAAATTTTTACTCCTA